TCTGATTCGGAGTCGTTTATGAGTTGAAATATGTCAGCGTCTTCCAAACGAGACATCGCCATGGTGTGGGCTGACAACTTCACTGAATACTAGCTTTGAAAGTTATGACACTGTTTGGCTGTGGCATAAAGACGGTAGCCTTGAGAGTTCAAACTAACCGAGCAGGGTCAGAACAGAGAACTTGTTGTGTATAAACAATCACCGTTCTTATACACGAAGCGATACAACACGCCCACATCTCTGCATACCGAAAGAAGGTACGTGTATAAGCTTCGAGACATGCAAGACTAAACATGTCTACATAACCATCCGCTGTGTTGCCACATCAACATACAGCATTCTTAGTTCCAAGAACTGTATGAATTCTTGTAGACAGACGACAAATTTGGGAATTTTATACTTGGAATCAGTCTAAAAATTTTTGCACATTTTATAAAGTCTGTAAATTACAATATCTGATTCTATATTCTTTCTAGAAAAAAAAACAGCATTTATTTGGTTCATTTATCACAAAAATTGTAGAAATCACAGCAATGTTAGGAAATGATTACAGTTTTTATTGCTTTAAAATTGCGGGTATTTAAATCAAATCTGTCCCGATGCCATTACCAGAATTTAAAGGGCCGTCACTTAAAGGTTAATACACCTGAGGATGGCAGAATGATGCCAAAACATGTAGTGTGAAGCGACAAATGAAATTGTATGCACCAAAAGACGGTTAATATATACACGTTATGGATACGAATCAGTGCAACAGGACGTTAAAATACAACATTAAAAATATTTTACCTGATGATTGCTATAAAGAGTTGAATGTGTAAGGGGCAGGCCTTCTTGGCCCTTGCACCGCGACCTACAGTGGTCTGTTGTGCTTACTATAAAGAGTTGAAACCTGTTTTAAAATAATAGATAAAGTTTATACTCAAACTGTGGCGACAGAACCAGTATTAATAAAAAAGCATAAAATATTGTTTAAGAGAATGTGAAATAACACAGTGAGTGACTGTGTAAAATGTTTTGGTGTTATGCTGTTAATTGACTAATAATTTCAAATGTCATGTGAAGTCTGTATGGTGATACCACAAACATTTCCATTAGTAATATGAGTGCTGTTATAAATCTTTGAAATCATAAAGTGTGCCACATTAATATACAGTCAGACTTTATCTCAGAATATTTACGTCTTTGATACTGCTCTGTATTTGAACATAACTACCTTTGATTTTTTATCCTGCATGTCAGTGTAACATTTTCCTTGCTTGTGCAAAAATTTCACAATTTATATACCAGAAGTGACAAAATTATGATTTTTTTCTGTGCACCTTGAAACACTCCAGGACAAGAGAAAGGGGTATGTGAACGGTACCAGCTTCAACATGTTAATATTTTATATCATTGCTCAGAGAAAATGTTTGTATCTTAATTATAGGTGACAGAAGAAAATGTGTATTTGGTGATGGAAATAGCAGACATTTTGCAAGTGTCGGCCATACAAGCGGCATGTTCACTTTACTTATTGTCAGCATTGAACACAAGTAATTGCTTGTCAGTATATGTGCATGCCAGTTTACGCAATTATAATGACACAGCACACAAAGCATTTCGTTACATACTTCAGAACTTCAAGTCTGTTATGGAGGAGGAGGAGTTTCTTCATGTGCCACCAGAGACTCTCATAAAAGTTCTCAGTTCACAGTTTCTCAATGTCTGTCATGAAGGCCAACTTTTGAAGGTACAGTAAAACTCACATAATTTGTAATGTAGGTAGTGCCTCGTAACTTTAGCCGCGCAGAAGGATAAACACTGTTCTGGAGCATGTGAAGCTGTACGCTTGCTGTGGTGACATTCAGAGCTACTCCCTGAGCTGAAAACATTGCCTACGGAGCAACTAATAAGCAACAGAATGTGCTATACACGTGACCACACTCCAAGACACTACATTCCAAAGTGGTAGTACTCACGCTGACATAAGCTGATAAGACTGCCCCCCACCCCCCACCCCAGCTCCACGAGAGATGGTATGACCCCACTACCATGGCTACCACACGATATGGGTGGAAGGCATAAATACATGTACAATAGAATGCTGCCTGGTGCCCCAAGGGGACCATTAATGACACTGGCAAATTTCCACCCCAGTGCCATGCCGCCCTCAGAATGATACCTCACACCTTGGCTTAGGTGGGCCAGTGTTTGTCACCCTTTCAGATGTTACCCCCCCCCTCCCCCAATGACAAGAATGTCAAGAGTTGGCTTTTGGAGGAAAAGCTTGCATTGAGACATCTCGCCCATCTTGGGGGCATTTCTGAACAACTGACCAGAATCAGAGATATTCAAGTGGTCCATTTGTTATGTTGGTTGAATAAATGGAACACCACTTTCAGTAAGAAATAAAAAGTTTCCCTCTATGAAAATAATGCTGATGTTTGTGGCGTATGATGTATGTTTATAATCAAGCATAGACAGTTTCAGATTTTTTTAATCGAATAGCCAGGAAAATATTTGATGACCAGAAGAAGGTAGATCAGTGTCTGGTCACATACAGCCCAGGAAGCAATGAAAGTTTTTGAGAAAATAGGTTGTGCAGTGCTTCAGCAGTCAACCTTGAGACTGTACTTAACTGGGATCAGTTTCCATATCTTTGAGCAACTAAATTAATTGATTGGAGGACACAGGTTTGAACACCGAGCAAATTCAGCAGCATATTTCTTATTGAAAACTCATGTAAGAAGATTAAGTCCTGGAAGTTACTGTATGCTCCTAATATAGTAATCAGCCATGTAAATCCAACAGTAGCTGTGGTAAATGTACCCTGTTTTTGTATACCAAGCTGCATCAAAGGTATATGGAATTACAAAATGTCTTGTCTTTTGTTTTAGGGAGTAGTGCGGTGGTGGAAACATGATTGTTCAGAAAGATTTCGGTATTTGAAACCCTTGGTTTCAAAAATAAATCTTGAAGAAGTGCCAGTGGATGTATTATACAGTTTTAAACAAGATCCCCTCTTAGCTGATACAGAGTTTGTGTCACAAATAAACAAAACTGTAAATCTAATTTTAGAAGAGAGATATGAGAAACAAGACATGAAGTCACTTTGGGAACTCTATCATAAGAAGTCACGTTTTAGAGGGAGATACAGCATGGAGCAAGAGGTACAGTTTCTTCAGATTATTATTTTATGACAATTCCTCCATTTTATTTTCTCATCAAGATTGTCATGTCAGGTGGTTGGACTCAGAGTCTCAGGTTCAGTTCTGTGTGACTGAGGATTTGTATTGGATGAAGTGGCACTGGAACATGTTTCTCTCTGAGGACTTCATACATGACCTGGAAACAGTAGGAAATTTTCTTTATTGCCATGTTTGCTTTGCATACTGGTGCACCACAGTGTCCTCCAATATCCAGCCAAGTGAAAGAAAGTCAGAATCACTGAGATGTGTCTTATGCCTTTACCTAAAACCTCAGGTGCCCTTGTATGATGTTCTGATTCATCAAAGCTGGAAAACATCACAATTCATAGAATTTAATGGCAGTGAAAATATCCAGTTAACAGTTAAAAGTTTCTGGGGTCTAATTACGAGTAGCTGACAGTTTCAATCCTAGCTGTCAGCAGTGGTTAGCTCTTAATGAACTTGAACCAAAGAGTATTTTAAGACCATATTTGATTGCTATTTTAATTAATGCCAAAGTACTTTTGTAATATTAGTTAAATGTTTACAGAATTGGCAGATGTTTGATACAGGAATTTTAAAATGCAGTGAAGTGCTTGTGGTATATACATATTGTATACAGTTAGTCATACTCAATATGACAGTCAGAATCTAAAATCTATTTTCTGGATGACTGTATATACAGTAATTTATAGCTCGTGTGTTAACAAGGTAAGAGTAACTTTATAAGACTTAGTGCCTAAGACTGAAACTAAAGGTCAAAGAAGCATCATGGAGATAATTTGATTGTTTCAACTTTCAGTTTCATAATTTGTATGTGACTGCTGCAGTATGGCCCACTATGAAGCTTCATTGTAGGCCTAGGATTACTACAGCATGGTCCAGTGTAAAGTTTCATTTTACTACCACAGTCAATAAGTTCGTGGACTGGCTGCAAAGCTTTGTTGCAGTGCACTACAGTGAATAGGTTGAGGCACGATATGATGCCCTGTCAGTTCACCTTTTAAATGAGAAATATGTCCTCTTATAAATTCCCTTTCAGACACAGATATGTCATCACTCAGCCAATTGACAGATGCAAGGAAACTAAGAATTATGTCAAACATGCAGCAAATAGCTTGCATATGATGTGTATGTGCACTCACATAGTACACATTTATTTACAGGTAATATTGGCTATTGGTGGCGAATCATCTGGAATGGCTCTTGGCAATGTGGAGTGCTTTACTTTAGGTTACGAAAGCTGGAAGTGCATTGCACCAACAGCTGTGTATGAAGGCGAGCCTTGTGACGAGGCACGGGTCATTCCAACTATGCATCATGCTCGTTTTTATGCTGCAGTAACTGCCAGAGATTATGAAGTATTCGTTATTGGTGAGTATGTTTACTAGACTAGGCTTGTTATTGGTGGGCATGTATATTAGAGTAAAATACTGAGTGTATTCTAAGCTAATATAGATCTCATTTCTTCTGAGGATACAAAGCCTTCTTGTATGATTTTTTATACTTAGGTGTAGCAAATTGTGGGTGGTTAAAGAAAGTCTCTGTGTATTTGTGTATATGTTCTGTCACTTGAAAGGCTCGATCCATTTGCAAACTATGAGTGTTTATATAACACGTCTGCCTGTCTTCATCTTAAAGGGGAAGATGGAACATTTTGGATCTAGGTTCCATTATAATGTACTGTTCTTATTCTGGTAGGAGTATAGGGTGTATGAGATCAAGTGATTCCCTAAAGGTTTGTAACAGTGGTTGATTCACAGAAATTTTCAGATTTCATTTTTGTGTGTATTTGTGCAGCATAAAGTATAATTCGCATCAAGCACGAATGAGCTTTACATTGCTGACAAACTAACCCTTATAAATGTACAATTTGTATGTGACATAAAACACAGTTTTCAGTGAGATTTATCGTTTTCATTTGGAGCTGTTTCCAATGTAATATATTGAATTTTTTATGAGGAAAAACTTATGCCTCAGCATAGGATTGTATGGGGTCTGGTTATTGTATTTGCAACAGAGATTTATGTCTGCAATAAAGAGCTGTCAAAGGCAATGTGCTTGTAAAATTGCAGAGTGTTTTGCCACTGAAGACGCCATTCAGATTGTTAGTTGGTTTAATTAACAACCTACAAATCGTAGCTACAAATACGTATGACAGTTACAAGTTTACACACTTTGCAAACCCTACTCACAAATCTCTTCACACTATCACGATTCACTTGTTACAACTGAGCTCAGTGACTGCTACAATTCAACTGTCTCCGGCAGCTGCTATATTTCAGCTGACTCCTTAAGCAGTGTAGTTCTCTTATAAACCCTCAGCCAGACAACGGGAAAACGCCTCGCTTCCTTGTTGCCTAGTCGCCGTGTTTACAGGTGTTGCTGGCAACGGTGTCGAGAGTTGTTTATTGCTGCATAGCAACCACGGCATCCTTTCTTGCGTCACCGCGGCAATGGTTGCCTAACACAGTTGCTCTTTCGTTACGTCACTGCAGGGGAGGGGGTGTTTACCAAGCGTTGCGTACTGATGGAAGGAGTGGGGTATGTGACATCACTCACAAGACTGCAGATTTCACATGACCCCTACTTCCTGTTGCACCATCCAAGTCACACTGCTCCCTTCTAAAGGTTGTTCATCCCGAACAGCCTAATGGTACATCCCCTTTCCTTTTTCTTCCCGTTGCCCTTTTTTCAATTGCTACATCTACTGCCTTCTTATGGTTGCTTGTCTCGAGCCGGTCCAGGTGTACTACGAACATTCTCTATCTAGGGTTCTTCTGGATTCTGTATACCATGTCATTTATCCAGGTTACTACTTTGTAAGGACCTTCCCATGATGTTTGTAGTTTAGGCGATTTCCCTTTCCTGCGGGCTGGGCGATAGAGCCAGACTCTGTTGCCCTCGTGGTAACCTGCGGAGTTGGCCAGTTTATCATACCAAGTTTTCATCCAGTCACTGACGAGTTTCAGGTGTTGTCGGGCAGTATTGTGGATGTCGTGTAGGTGATCCACCAAGTCTGCTGCATAATCGGTTGGGGGTAGTTCCTTGTCTGGGGGCACCCAAAAAAGCAGGTCGCAAGGCACTCGGAGTTCTCGTCCGAACACTAGGCTAGCAGGGGTCAAGCCCATAGTGTCATGAGTGGATGCCCTGCAAGCTAGGAGAAAGAGGGGTAACCTCTCATCTCAGTCCCTCTGGTGGGTTGCGACCAGTCTTATCTGGGATTCACACTTTTCCTGTATCAAATTCTTTGGTTTCTGGTGGCAGCACTCCATGGCCAGTTTTCGGTCCCTACACCATTTCTTCTTCAGTTCTCCGACCGGCATCACTGTGGCGTCTTCTACGGGGACCGCTCATCGTTCTGCCGCTTCAGGTTTCATGTCCACTGAGGTCAGCTCTTCTAGACTGTACCTCCATCTCTTGGCAGGCCATCATCTCTTCTTCTTCTTCTTCTTCTTCTTCTTCTTCTTCTTCTTCTTCTTCTTCTTCTAGATGCGCCTCCGTCGTTTCTCGGCAGGTCATCATCTCCATGTCTCTTTCTGGTTTGGTTTCGGCAACCATCTCCTTGTGGCTGGCACCTATATTTTCTCGCATAGCTTTCGTCCTTTCTTTGATTGCTTTGATTTTATGTTGGAGTGTCTCATCCAACTCTGACCGCATAGATCGCATTGCGGCCTTCATTTCTTCCTTATCGGTTTTGATTTTCTCTCTCAATTTTTCTTGGCCAAATCTCCTCTCCTCTCGGTCGGCCTCCATTATGGCCAGCTTTCATTTCTTCCTTCTCGGCCTTCCTTTCTTCTGTGTCGGTTTTTCTGTCAGCCTCTGCCTTTGCCTGGTTGGCATCTAATATTGCCAGCATTTTGATTATTTGACTTGTTGTACTTGTGAATTCAACAATTCCCCTTAAATTGAGGCTTGCTTCAGTTTGTAAACAATTCTGACACCAAATTGTCACATGTTGGGTATGTCACGCGACAAGTAACTTCACGCCGTATTGGATATAGCAAATTTATTCCACTCACTCTTACACTTATACAATTCCCAATTTCCCAACTACTGCCATTGGCAGTATCACAATTACATCTCATGCTGGAGTCACTGTCATGCCTCCATTAGGCTAAATAAGGAGCAGCGAACACTGTTCAGCAGTAGTGAGTGATTAGTGAGTGAGGATTGAGCCAGTTATGAGTGAATGACAGTGACTCCAGCAGGAGATGTAATTGTGATACTGCCAATGGCAGTAGTTGGGAAATTGTGAATTGTATAAGTGTAAGAGCGAGTGGAATAAATTCGCTATGTCCAATATGGCGTGAAGTTACTTGTCACATGACATACCCAACACATGACAATATATAGAAAATATGTGTGATTCATTGCACTAATTTTTGTATTTGAAAAAAAAAAATATTTTTTTGTTTAGGTGGGACAAACTCTTCAACAGTTCTAGATGTAGTGGAGTATTATAGTATCCAGTCCAATGTGTGGTGTGACCTGGCACCTCTGCCTCTGGCTGTGGAGGGTGCTGGAGCAGCTTTCCTAGACCACAAGCTTTATGTGGTGGGAGGCAGGGGCAGAAATGGATATGAGAATGGAGTATGGGTATGTTTATGCAGATGAGAGATTTGGAGATGCAATGTAATGTGCTGTCTGATGACTAAAAAGCATCCACATTCTATTTATGACTGAAATAAGCAGAATTGCCTGTTCTGTGCATGGGATATGGTTGATTTTCTTATCAGTATCAAACTTTTTAGTGGCTAAGACTTGGTGCATATTTTTCTCATTTAAAAGAGTGAGAATTCAAGTCACATGTAAAAACAATACCAGTATGCCTGCACATTGTTTTGGCAGGCTGTGGCTGTTCATATATTGGTAAGAGAACAGAGTAAATTTTATAATATTGTCACGCAACAAATAACTTCACGCCTTAGTGGATATAGCGAATTTTATTCCACATTCGCTCTTACAATCACACAATTTACAGATTCACAATTACTGCTATCTGCAGTATCACAAATACTAGACTGAAAATGCCAGAATACAACTGACTGGTTGCTGGCTAACTAGTTACTCTCTGCTGGCTAGATTGAGAACTCAGAACTGACTGCTGGCTAACTTGGAACTGACTATGAATAGTCTTCGCTGCTCCGTATCGAGCCTCGTTCCGGACAGCATGAAAAACAGCCATGTAATAGGCACCATTGTTGTCTGGCGCCGTGGTTACCGGTGTTACCGGTAACGCTGTCGAGAGTGGTCTCTCGCAACCACTGTTTACCCGCGTTGCATAGCGACCAGTGTGCCGGGACTCGGCTCACTTCGGCTCCGCTTGGCACGTCACCGCCGCCATGGGGGGAGTGGTGTCCTGCATAGCTCGACACGTCACACTATTGTAGTGTGTAGACCTGTTACTAGGTAGCAACTACAAAACAAATAGGTTCCCATGGCAACCAGTTCAGGCACAACAGTAGATAACTATTGGCAATGGCGTTTTCTATGGGGCCCAGGCCAAGGGGTTATATAACAAGGACACCAGCTGAGCTGTGGTCAGTTGGAAGTCAGTCTGTGAAGAAAAGATTGCGAGGTTGGTGTGAGATGGCTGCTGGCCTTGGAGTTAGTCATGTGGAGCAAGAGTTCAGAGTCGTGGAGTATTAGCTAGCGACCAACAAAATGAATGCTGAAGCCGAATAATCTCCACTGTTAAAGTTGTTACCAGGAAATGACAAATGCAGACTGTAACAGACTGAAAACACTAATCTGTGTGCAATAGTGATTCGTGAAGTGTGTAGTTCAGCAATAGTGTTATAATTACTTGTAGTTATGAGTCATATTAAAGTGGTCAGTAAATTGAGTCACCAATCCAATCCCCATATACAGGGTGATTCACGAAGGGAGAGCATTCCTGAGGTAATTTGGAACAAAAAATGTTAATATACTAATGGTATCCAATTCATAATTAAAGAGATACAGTAATTTGAAAACTGGCGAAAAATCTTTTTTTCTTCGAATTTCAGTCAAAACAAATTAGAAATACAATACAAACACTTTTTAAATCGTTAATGTTTTAGAAAACAAGCCTTCTAAAACCAAATATTTCTTTTCAATTTCTTAATTTTTCATCGATTTTGTGTTACAAAATTACATTATTTTCAGCATCCCATTCTGTAAACATACCAATGGTTGCATATCACACCCTTCTATCAATCTGTTTCCTTTAAACTGTAATGCTTTAGAAGACAACTGGATTTATATAAGATTTTCAAAAATTCTCCCTGCACGTCAACACAGTGCATTGCACGTGTATGAACCACTCTGCCTATCTACCTATGTGCAACATTCAAACCGGTCTACCTTATCTGCTGACATAGCTGACTGGAACATATGGTCGCCCATGCTGAAGCATAGAGCTGCATTCACAATGATGCGTTTCGAAAATCTATTGTTACTCCATAACTATTGAAAATCGACCAAAAGTTTATAAGGAAATTTTGCAGGAAATAGTCCCAGAAAAATGTACCATAAGCCGGGGTAAAACTTCGTGAATCACTCTGTATAGTCACAGTTGGAGAACTATTGTAAAAATAGCATGAAGAATGCACAGCAGACTTGAGCTCTTGTTCCACTGAGTTCTCAAGTCAGATGGTGTGGTGGTAAAGGAGTAGATACCTCTTGATGCCTTGTTTATTCAGTGCTTCCCACCTTGACCTAAACAAGTGTAGCATACCAGCACAGAAATATTGGTGTGGAGTTTGTTATGCGCAAGCACAGTTGAATAATGAATGACTTGACTGTAGGCATAATGAAAATTGTATTCGTTTTTGTACTTGGAAACTATGAGTACATGTCAGCAGTGCTACTGCCATGTCAGTTCCCCTTGAAATGTTTTGTGTCATTCTTAAGCAATGAACTGAGGACTTTGTGTTTCACTTGATGTAATGTTTATATTTTCATGTATATTTCAGTGGGAGTGAGATGATGCTTAGACTGTGGCTCACAGGCTCACATAAGATTAGAGTCAGCACTGTCTGACAGTTTCTTACAAAATAAATGCTTATATGAAGAATAGCGGTGGAATGACCCGTAGTGTGCGCTCATGGGGTAGCTTTGGTCAGTAAAATATGCTATTAAAATTTCCTACATTGGGATGATAAAGGTTAAAGCTTAGATTTCTGTAGATTCTCATTAAAATGCATCTCCCATGTTATTTATTGGTAAAATATCGTTGTTGTTTCGCCCTTAAGGTTTATGAGGAACATCAAAATGAATGGCATGTAGCACCTTCAATGAATACATGCAGAGGACATCATGGCGTTGTGGCTGTTGGTGGTGCAATTTATGCCATTGGAGGATCTGGCAAGTAAAAGATGAAATGCAGTTTTGATAACATGTGTACAACTATGTAAGATTTGGGGTTTTCACAGTGGTGACTGTGAAGAAAGCGGTCTTCTGGGATGTGGCGCTGTGTAGATATTGCATTAACAGACGTTAACCACCACCCATCAAATAAGCACGCTGTACTTTCCACATTGGTGCAGAGGGCTAGAGCTCTATGCGATCACGACAGCCTGCATGCGGAGTTGGTGCTCCTCGGGGACATTTTCAGGCAGAACACTTACAACAGCCAGCAAATCCACAGTTCTCAACCGTCGTCTGAACATCAGTTGGCCCGATGATAAACCAGACTCAGTCGCCTTCCTGTCATATGTCGGGACTATATTCAACCAAATCAGCAGAGTGCTATCCCAGTACATCAAATCAGTGGGCCTGCCTCCAAAGAAATTACCTAGTTTCCTCCGGCCAGTCAAAGATAGTCAGGAACTAAGGACACTGGGTGTATACAGTATCCCATGCGAGCGCAGCAAGGTCTGTATCGGGCAGACGGGCCATTCCATGGACACGAGGTTGAAGGAGCATCAGCAGCACATCCGTCTTGAACATCTGAACAAGTCAGCTGTGGCTGAACACAACATTCAACTTCAGTATAGCTCCATCCTCGCCACCCAGACCCAATATATGGATTGCATCATTAGGGAGGCCATTGAGATTGAACTCAGTCCTGACAATATGAACAGGTTTTGTCTCAGGCAGACATGGAAGCCTCTCATCTGTTCCCTAAAGAAACCTCCAGGACATGACGCCAGATCCACAAGGCCACACAAGTCCATGCCTCACTCGCATGGCAACCCCAAAGCTTAAGGGTTAATGTCCTCCATTAACCTTGCCTTTCCNCCCCGACACAATATTCTATACCTGCTGGCCCACCTCCCCAGACCCTTCCCCTCTCCTCTCTTCTGATTTCCCATGTAGCCCCTCTCCCTTCTCTTTATGCTCTTATATAGCTGGGTTTATTCTCAACATTAGTCTATTAGCACCTGCTCAAGCTGGTTCTTCGCTTGCAGATTTTTTTTCCTTCTACCCTGTATAGGTGATACATTCCTCCGAAACATCAGTTAACGCAATATCTACAGAACACCACCTCCCAGAAGACTGCTTTCTTCATGTGTACAACTGTCCAGATTTCTGCCCTTTCAGACCTGTACAAGCTGCGTATCCACACACACATTTTGACCTATAGCAGATGTTTACATACAACTTTCATACCATTACTGGCATACATATCTGACTTTGTTGGGCCAGAAAGTTTTTATCAGTCAGTTACTCCATCTGGTGGGCCACACCATAGCTCAAGCGGTTAGTCGCTGGCTTCCCACCGCGGCGGCTCAGGTTCGATCCTGGGTCTGGTCAAGTGGGATTTGTGGTGGACAAAGTGGCACTGTGGTGGGTTTTCTCTGAGTACTTCAGTTTCCCCTGCCAATCTTCATTCCACCAAACTCTCCATCATCATAATCACCTGGGGCAGGCTACAATAGGCCAATCAGTGGCCACCGTGCCGAGTGGACCCAATTGGACTCCACCTCCCACTAAGTGAATTTATAAAAAAAAAAAAAAGTTTTTTTTACTCCATCTGGTAGTGTGGGTGAAGTTTACTTCTGCAATGACTGAATCTAATAATGTCACTGGTTTTATGATTATGCTTTTATCTACACTGTGCTGTACCTGTAATTGGCCTTACGGCAGTTGGCTCAGCACATAAATAATAAGGAATTGATTTATTATTATTATTATATATATATATGTATAAGCGATGAGCTGTGATAGGTCTTAATATGAATATGCTGAATTAAATACATGGGGATTCCCTATTTTTTTTATTGCTAGTGGGGTGGGACTAAGTCCCTTGTACTGTGGCCACTTGTGGCCTATTGTACCAGCCCCAGATGATAGGTGAGGGTGACTGTGGAGAAATTGGTGGAATGAAGATTGGCAGGGGAAACCGCAGCACTCGGAGAAAATCTGCCCCAGCGCCACTTTGTCCACCACAAATCCCACTTGACCAGACCCAGGATCAAACCCGGCCCACTGCAATGGGAAGGCAGCAACTAACTGCTTGAGCTGTGGCACGGCCTAAAGGGATTCCCTAAGGAACGCAGGCCAAAAACTGAACTGTGATGATTATGTATGTACTTCCTGTACACATTTATCTGACTTCATTATCACTTTTAGTGCGCTTAATGCAGTATGTAACAGCATTAAAAGAAGTAGTCATTTCATATGATTTTGTGTGCTTCATATCTGATTCGTATAAGAAACATCTTTCATCATATTATGGTGTGTAGCACTGATGAAAGCAAATTTAATTCAGGTGGTGAAAGAGATAGTACAGATACATATTTAAAATGTATGGAAAAATATGATCAGGGAAGAAGTCGTTGGTACACCATGGCACCAATGCATGAAACAAGAGCTTCATTTGGTTGTGCAGCAGTGGGCAAATTTATCTATGTCATGGGAGGATATGATGGTACATTTTGGCTGAAATCAGTAGAAAGGTGAGTTTAAGTGTACATGGGATAAGTTTATTCATATCTATGTTTATTCTGCATGGTAGTCTCTTTCCAATCCTGGGCATAACATTCTTGAAAACTCCCAGGGTAGGAGAATTCATGTATAGCGAATACGGGGTCTGGCTGCAGTTTAATGATTCACTGTATGAGTGCTCACCCATCTGCCTCGACAGCATTAGCCAAAGGTGACATCATTGTTGTCCATCATGAAACAACATTCACCAACAGACATGTGATGGTCAGATACATTGACAGTTGAATAATTATTTGTGACCAGTGTTCCACTACGGAATGGTCAAGGCTGCATTTGCATAATTTGTGGCATTCGGAGATGAAATGGAGAGCTGACAACAATGTATCCTATCTAAATTGGTGCTTGCTGTGTCACTTGTAAATGAGGCTAAACTCAGATGAAAAATAGAATACATAAAAACAGTACAAGTAGAGTAACATACTGGGCACATCAACATGTAAAAAGCAATAAAATTACATGAAAGTAATATTTTATTTGCCTTCAATCCAGAGAGTTGTTGCCTGGTGATAATGATGAGGGATGGGGGGAGGTGGGCCCCACTGAGCCTCCGTCTCCAACTTTCAGAGCCCTGTGATGGTAATGAAGAGGCTGGGGTGGCCTCAGGTTCCAGAATATTGCGGCATGATTACATCGTCTGTTGCGAGACAACAGATGGGTAAACATGTAACATTTTCAGAAGGTGCCCAGTTTGTATTTCTGCAGGAAACTGACTATCCTGGTGGAGGGGTTTCCTCAGCCGTTCCAGGAAAATTCCATGATAGTACCTCAAAATATGGCAGAATTTCTTCTTTCCACTTTTTTCCCGAATTTCTTATTCACCGTTATCCAGTCATTTGATGCTGTATAATTGTGAGTTACTGACAGGATCATTGAATAAACAAAAAATTCAAATAAGAATATTGTCGTTCTCTTAATTCTGAAAATCATTTCAAATCACTGATGTTAACACACATTTTCATGTTCTAGGTACAACACCCTGACAAATGAATGGAATTACATGACCTCAATGAGCGTACCTCGAAGTCACTTCAGCACCACTGTGTGTAATAATCGCATATACTGTCTGGGTGGACATGACAGCATACATTACCTTAATACTGTGGAGAAGTTTAATCCAAATGCCAACAGATGGCACTGTGTGCATGCAATGCAAGTGAGAAGATTTGGAGTGGGTGCTGCCACCCTATTTGTACCTCTTTATAAACAAACTTAACAATGAGGTTGGTGTTTTTCACAGACAAGTTTGCTGACATTATATTTACTGACTATTGCACAGTCACTAGGTGACTGTGGAAAAATAGTCAAAGGTGCTTAGAACACTGCCTGTATTTTGATTTCCCTGTATGTGTATTATTGTGGCTGAAAGAAAGTATGGGCAAAGCCTTTTCCATTTGCCCTTGTATTACTCTCTGTTTGAAGTGTAGGATTGTTGAGGGGTTGAAACAGAGTGGGATGCACAACAGATCACAATGGTCACAGTGCGAGGATCGGTCAAGGCCTACCCCTTATTTATTTATTTATTCATTCATTCAGATGCAAGTTCTGAGAACAAGATAGATGCACAATTTGGTTATCATCCCACCTGACTACTGCAGCATAGTGACAAGGAACTCAAACTCCAGGCAAACTGACCAAAGAAAAATGAAAGTCTAAAGTAACAAACATATCTAATAAATAACAAAATAATAATTAAAAACAAAGACCTTTCAAGAGTGTGCCTAAACATAAATATAAAAAATAATAAATAGAAAACACAAAAAGGAGTACAACCAACCCCAAAATACTGTGTATAATAATTACAACTTAGCAATGATAATGTCAAGGAAAATGTAATGAATTAATCATTCTAATAAACATTTGGAGAATCATGAGCAGTGATGAATGATCCAGTATGGCAAATACAGAGGGGTCCAAAAAATGTACTCACTCTTTGATAGTCAATATCTTTTGAACAAAATGACATGTAGTTACAATTCCTGCGTGGAGAGAGAGAGAGAGTCATTGTATGTGTTCGAAGTGACCACCATCAGCGGCTAAACAGCGTCGATGCCGCTGAACTGCCGAGCGAACTATGGCTGTCAGTGTGTCCAGTGTGATGGCTGCACATGACGCTTTGATGGTTTCCCGTAGCATGTTCAGTGTAGCTGGCTTTTGTCGATAAACTTCATCCTTCAAGGTTCCCCATAGGTAGATGTTGAGAGGTGTTAGGTCTGGAGACTGTGGTGGGTACTCAATAGCACCTCTTCGACCTATCCATAGTCCAGGCAGAATGTCATCCAAGTACGCCCTGACATCTCAATGGCAGTGAGGTGGAGCACCATCCTGTTGTAGGTGAAATCTCTCATCTCCAAACAGCTCTCAAATGGCAGGGAAAATCGATGTCTGAAGCATATTGAGATACACCTGACCATTTAAGGTACCTTCAAAGAAGAAAAGACCCATCAAACCACGCGACGATCTTTGTTTATGCACATCATGAACAGTACCATCGGCTTCAAATTTATCCCGAATACAGGCAATTGTTCGACATGTTGGTGGCTGAGTTCCAAACTCATTCTGCCATTGTCGTACCTCTTTAATGTTTTCGTACTTCCAGTACCACTTCAATACAGCCTTGCGTTGCTCAAAGAACAACCTTTCTTCCATTCTTGCAGCTGTCTTCTGCTCGCAGGGCGCACTCGGCATGACACTCAAGTGACCTTCGCCATCTGTTGAGAAAACATTACACTACACTACCACACAAGGATATTGACTTTCAAAGATTGAGTACATTTCTTTGGACCCCCCTGTAGTGTGCCATGGACCACTAAAACTGGGGAAATACATATAAAATGAAATTTCCCTTCCCCAGTCAATAGAAGGTAGCTTAAATGACATAGCATTCCTTAGCTCTGTAGCCAGGGAAGTAAACAGATTGACCCCCTGAATAATAGTCCCAATCTTGTGCTCTTGCATGTCTTGCCATAAAATAGGAAGTGTGAATATGATTATGTTTTATTATTATTTATTATTATTATTATTGGAGGGGGTGGGTTTCCCCATGCACTGCGACTAATAGTCTGTTATTGTACTTCCCCCATTGATATTCTACCAGTTGCCATACCCTGCCGGTACTGGTGCTTGCTATCAGCCTCATTCAGCCAGCAAGGCTGGCACTGGTACCTGATACTTCCCCCATCTACCGGAAGCATTGGAAACTACTTGGGCGGGAAACTTTTTGCCTAATTTTGCTCAGAGGTCTCCTAGAGACATGAGGATCTTTTATGTGCCGTAAATCTACGACATGGGACCCACGACTTAAAGTCCCTCCTGGAGGACTTGTTCCCTGAATTTTTCCGCCCTTAAAAATTCCACGACCTCTGCCGGGTTTGAACCTGCATACCTTGAGTCATGAGGTGGGAACGTTAGCCCTAGACTATGGAGGCCACTTTGACTTCTCCGAGGTGGTATCCATAATTTGTGGGACTGGTGCTGCCATCTGGTCAAGAACTACTAACTTTGGGCCTACTGGCCACCATCAACCTTCAAGTAGTCCACTTCTGCATGTATGCACCATTCCCAGTACTTCTGCCATTTTTAAATGCATCCTGGAAGTTGTGTTCTGTGAGGGTGTTTAGCACTGCCTGTAATTCTCCCTTGATCACCTCAATGGTGTCAAAATGGCAGCCTTTCAGTTTTATCTTCAGTTGGGGAAACAGAAAAAAGTAGCAGGCAGCCAAGTCAGGTGAGTAGGGTGGGTAGGGGATAACAGTTGTGTTGTTTTTGAACAAAAATTCCATGGTGAAAAAGGAAGTGTGAGACAGTGTGTTGCTGTGTTGCAACAGCAAGTTCTTTTGTCACCCAAGTTCACGGTGATGTCTTCACATATTATCATGAAGTCACCATAAAACATCACAGCAGTATGCAAAATTGACTGTTTGGCCTGCCAGGGTGGATTATTTGTGAACAATCCCCTTGATTTCAAAGAAAATGATACATATGCTCTTGACTTTGCTCTTCACCTGTCTTGCCCTTTTTTGGTCTTGGTGAGTTTGAACTTTTCCATTGGGAGGATGTTGTTTTGTCTCAGGGTCATAACCGTAAATCCAGCTCTCGTCACAAGTGATAACCCTGAACAAGAAGGTTGCATCATTGGAGGCGATCTGACAAAGTTCCTCACAGACGTGGATGTGCTGCTGCTTCTGATCAGCTGTAAGTAATGTGGGGAAAAATTTCGTGGTGACACAATGCATGTCCAATTCAGCAGTCAGAATCTGTTGGCATGTCCCTTAATCAATTCCGATCTCATTAGCAAGGTCTTGAATGGTTTGAGGTCGATCCTCATGAATGATCTGTTGAAGTATGACAACAGTGTCCGGCGTTGTGCAGCTGATGGGCCTACCTGTGTGTTGGTGATCCTCACTGGATGTCTGAACCGAGCATGCCATTCAAACACCCATGTACAGCTCCTGCTTTCTGCCCTGAACACTTCCCTGATCACTGTCTCAGTCTCCATCACACTTTTTCCAAGATTTGCACAAAATTTGATGTACACTCTTTGTCAGATGGATTGCAAAATTGCATCAGGCAAATAAAAGGATGTAAAGACTAAAATGTTTGTTATTGTTAAATAATGATTATTATTATTATGACTCATTTTCACACACAAAACTGTATACCGTATTTCGTTTACTTCTATAATTTTATAATTACATATAGTTAATTAAAATAAATTTACTTACCTAATTCATTTAAATCAGCTTCAGTTGCGTTTTCTTTATTATTGAATGTGTTTACCAGCTCCAACCAACATTTCTTTTTCAAGTCTATCGGAGTACTCCTTACAACTGATATCCCAAATGGCTGGCCTGTCATGAACTTCTAAAATGAATCTTTCGAAGTCAAAATTTTCTTCCGAACTCATTTTACAATTTTAAAATATAATCGGAATGAACTAAACAAGTAAACTACCAGTGGCTGTACTGGACGCTACCGTGTGAAAGACACAACATCGGACAGTGGACTGACATGGTGGCACGACCAGCCTGGTCACTCGTAAAATCCCATTCTCTGGCCACCGCATTCCTGGAAGCGCCACCAACGAAGCTTCCGCCACCACAAATCACTCAGTGTAAAAGAGTCCATGTAAACGCAGTGGTGCACATGGTCACGCTACCGTGGTGGAGCGACCGTGGTGGCCCCGTGTGCAAAGGGCCTTAAGCTGAGGCATGAGGTGTTCTGTTTTTTTAAATGGGAAAAATCGCTCACTGGCAGACAGTTTCAGCAACAAGGATTTTTTATTGAAAATGGCTTACCTCACAGATATATTTTTGAAACTAAATATCCTCAACAGTTCACTTCAAGGGAATGAGGCAACTGTACTTTCTTGGAATGACAAAGTGAAGGCATTCATGAGAAAATTAGAGCTCTGGAGAAACAGTATGGAAAGTGACACGCTAGACATGTTCCCTACTCTGGTGTCAATGGTACAAGACACTGATAATCCAGTGCTTCCAATGGACATAAAAAGCTGCCTACTTGATCATCTCATAATGTTGAAAGTTCATTTCGAAAAATACTTTTGCAATGATTTTGATAAATTTAATTGGATTAAAAATCCATTCGAAAATGCTCCTGGGCCATCATCTCTGAATGTAAATGAGCAAGAACAGCTCATTGATCTCACTAGTGATACTCCATTAAAAAGTAAATTTAAGGAATTGTCTTTGTTGGAGTTCTGGATACATATTGGCATGGAATTCCAAACTTTGAGCCAAAAAGCATTGAAAATCCTGATTCCTTTCGCAACGACTTACTTATGTGAGACAGGCTTTTCTGCTTTGGCAGCTAAAAAGTCAAACTATCGTTCAAGGCTAAATATTGCTAAAGAAGTTAGAATGGCCATTTCTGATATTATGCCACATTTTGATAAACTTTGTTTCCAAAAGCAGGCCCATCCATCTCACTGAACTTTGACATTTAATTGTTTGATTTTCTTTGCAGAAAAAAATTAAATATATGGTAGTTAAATATCATTTCATTTCAGTACATATTTTGGTTAATTGCAAATGTTAAAACTAATTTTTATTGTAGGCCTAGTATTGTGATACTTTAATTTTGAGTAAGAAAACTGCTAAATAGTATGTAGAAAAACACAAAATAAACTGAATGAAACGTCAAACATACCATGACTGGCATGTCAATATTAAATTGTACAGTGATGAATAATTATTTGATGAATTAATGGATTCATTATGTTGCATTGTATGAAAAGTCAGTTATAAAATTTACAATGATTAAAGACAAGGTTATTAAACTTAAAATATTGTTGATCTTATGACAATATCTTATGTAGTTATATAGTGAAACCCTCTTAAAGAGGTTTTCGAAAAGAACTGAACAAAATCGGCTTATGAAGGATTAAAACTTATGATAGTATTATTATCCCCTTCTGTCACAATACACTCTGTTAGTCCCTTGTCATGCACCCATTCCCAAAATTGTCCTGTTTTATTTATTTCCGCAAACCTTTTCATTCCAACAGCAGTTCCTGACATGATCTTGATAATCTCTTTGTTTATTTCAATGATATTTTTCAATCTTACAGCACTTTCCCTTCTTTGTTAAAATCTGATATACTGTAGTTTGTCAATTACTTGTTCACTGTAGGTATTTTTAATGTAGTGTATATTTTTTAAATTTAACATAATCAATTCTTTCACTTTAATGTCTTATATTATAAAAGCTAAAAACTGGTATATGGTATGCCTTGTTGGATGACTTTCATTGGAAGTTCACAACATGCTGACTCTTAGATTATAAAATTCTGACAATGATATATGACACTCAGGATTACAGGATGTTTGGACTCAGGTCCGGTGATTAAGGTTAGCTCTTTGGAACAGACCCAGCAGAGTAGGTGTCTCCCACACTCTCACCTGAGGAAAAAAACATATCCAGTTTCTGAAATGTTGTGTTCTGTAGTTCTTGGCCGCA